AAACGGCCGCCACGCGCTGCCGGCGGTCGACGAACCCATACAGGGCCGCCCAGCCCAGCAGCACTCCGTGAGCAGCGGTCCTTGGGTTTTGGGTTGGGCCGCCGCCCGGTCTGCGGCTGCCATGCTGAACATGAATGATACAATGATACAGTACTAAAGTACAGTCACGCACAGTCCGAAGTGATGCAAATGGTCATCTCCATCCCCTCAATACCCCTCCTCCCAATTTATCTGTCACGCACAGAGGACAAATTTGATGATTAATACATAAAACGTATTTTGTGCAGGTTTTGAAGAAATGCAAAGGTGCGTGTTGAAAATGATGAATTTGCATCTCTCTCCCAGTTAAAGGTCCGGCTGACGGAGGGGGCGACATGCAGACGGATCCGAGCCGGATCACTGGATCCCCCCCTCCCCTATAGCGCGCCTGGTGTCAATGATCTTCCATCCGGACCCTTTGTGCCTTGGCCCTGCCCTTCTCTGCATTCGTTTTATTCTAGTGACCCCTCCGTACCCCTCCGGTCCCCCCTCCCCCCCTCGCCACAGGACGAGACACCGTCTGCGTCTGGCCGGGGCAGAGCCGGGGAGGTCAGTGCTCCGTGACGTCAGGCGCGTCTCCTGTCTCCTCCACGCGACGCACAACTTCACTTATTTCAGCACACACCTTCGGGGACAAACTGCCAGAGGTTTTATTTCCTCTTCTCGGTGGTTTTTCACTGCAGTAGTTTACCTACTTATTCTTGCAGACGTGAGGACGAATGGCCCCAGGCGAGTAGGCAACCCGCCCACGCGCGTGCCGAACAGTGCTCGGCACACTGTGTACCGGGCTGACTCACGCCGCGCACTTTCTTTGTTATACTGCACCGCGTGCACGCGCACGAGCGGGTTGCCTACTCGCAAGGGTCCACAAGGAGCGGTGGGGCAGCGATGATAGGCAAACTCGCACGCACTCGTGAATGCGGTACAGCATAACTATGAAAGTGCGCATCCACCTGGTAAAACTGCTAAATAGAAGGGGTTTCGTGGACCACTCTGGATACATTTATTAGGGTGTTATCCTGCAATGTTCCAGCAACCCAGATAGCGAAGGTCGTGCGTTTGGCGCATTTTTCTCGCTTCAACGCGCCATAAAATTGCTAAAAATTGCTCATAATATGTAGGGTCTGATACTTGTGTCAGTGTGAATAACCCCAACGGTAAGGCCACGGCCAGGACCAACCTCCCGACTCCTCTATCTCCTCCCACTGCGAAGGATCCGACTCCTGCTGCGCTGGGGTGCGCCCTGGCGGCCGGTCGCCCAAACTCCATGTCGCCCGCCAGAGCCAGAGTCTCTTGCGCCGCGGAGTAGCGCCGCAACCCGTTCTATTTTCGAGCTCCACTCCACTCCGGCCCGCATCAGCTGACTCCCTGACGCGGCTGACTCGGCTCGACCGGCCCGCTCCCGCACTGCTTTTCTTTGCCATGTTCGGTGCGTCGGATCGGGACCACAGGGGGAGGGACAGAGAGATGAGCTCAAGAGGGCGAACGCAGCCCGCCGCCTTCCCCGCCAACACCGCTCACAGCAACTCCCACGCTATTGGTCGGGCATCAGAGCCTGGCTTGCACTCATTCAGTCCCCAGCAGATATCCCTTCTCCCCTCAAGCTGAAAGGACAGGAACGGGCCCAGATAAGGCCACGATCTCGTCCGGCCAGCGTCACCACTAACACAGTACTGCTCTACTGTAGTGGTCTGGTTATCCAACCATGACCCGCAACTATTACGCGTTCGGCGACCACCCCTGCATAGAACCATCACCACCAATTGCCCTAGAATACCACTTGTGGAACTAGTTAAATATGAACAGGAGCAAAGCCCACATTAAAAACTAAGGCAGCAGTTTCTTTTCAGTTTCTGTTCATGTAAATGAGGTTTGCGTCTTCTTTAGAAGAAAACAAATCGCAGGTCAATGGAAAAAAAAACAATTCGATTTTTAAAATATTTTTATTTTCAATATTTTACTTTTTTTTTACACAAAGTGTATTTCCTAGGACAGTAGCGGACGAATTGGAGCCATCCAGACAACCGCAATTGGAAACAGCCAACCGACTTCCCATGCCAAAGATAGCAATACTCCCAGTCCACAAAAGATAAAATAAAAAATAAAACAAAATAATGAATAAATAAAACCAATAGACAGCAGACGACTGCACGTTAAGTGCAATTTAAATTTCAAGGTACTGAGAGCAAGATTGAGCGTAGACCAGTGCTTGACTTACAGGATTTAAAACATCAGACCCATGATATGAACTATTTTCACTTTTTTCACCATAGGCCGAGCTGAAAGGCTTGACACATACCCCCCTCCCCCCCCATGCCAGCTAAATCACATAGAGATAATACACTGCCTTACTCCCAATTCATCATCTCAAAGACTGAGGTGGGAACAGATTTGGTTCATAAGCTCTACGCAATAAAGCAATACAAACAGCAGCACTGGGCAGCAACAGTACACAGGTACACGACGTCAGATGGTGCTGCAGTTATGGTAGTTACTGGGTACCCCAGGACTCCACCACTGAGATTGGCCAAGCACAAAACTTCCAAGAACAATTGAAATGCTGTTGATTTACCACAGTACAAGAGAGTGTAGTGACTCACACAGCCTGAATCAAACGGGGACTTATAAATTGTTCAAACATTGGTTGGATTAAATTTACATTACAAGAAAGATTGCATCACAAATTAATATATGCTTGGCTTAGAGATTGCCAACCTGACGAGCTTGGCTCAGATTCTCGAAGTTCACCTCGTCAGAAGCAGATACTTTCTGTGACAGGTTTATGAAGATACATTCCATATAAAGTAAATTTTATGATAAAAAACTGTCTCCAAAAGGTTTAAAAATTTCAATAAGTTCTACATGATACAGGTCGACATCAGGTGAAGTCTTCAAAGAATCGTAGCTGGATCAAAAATTTGTGGAACCCCATTATCATCCACTTGATCACATGGCATACTTGCGGGTCCATTCTTTTGCTAGTTCGTTGTATTTTTCTCGGTCAGTCTTGTAGATCCTTGCAATTTCTGGCACCAGGGGATCATCTGGGTTTGGATCGCAGAGAAGCGAGCAGATGGACAAAAGAACTTTGGAGATGGTGAGAGCCGGTGACCACTGCGACCTCAAAATATCCAAACAAATACTTCCATTGCTGTTGATGTTTGGATGGTATATGCGTGTCGTGAATGCCACTTTCGGGGGCTTAAAAGGATAATCCGTAGGAAAGTGAATTGTTAAGAAGAAAACTCCTCCTTGGTATGGGCTGTCTGGCGGTCCCATGATTGTTGCTTGCCAATGGAACAAGTCATCACCAACAGGGCCCGCAGAACACTGCGCGGGTGGATCCCTACCCAAGTCCATCAATTCTTTGTTGATCCGTTTCAATGCCATTATAATATATAACTATCTTAGATAGTATCTAGTTGAAAAAAGTTGCAGAAGGCTCTTAGCCTACAGTTCAGCTTCTCTGCAGAGTTGCTACGAAAAACACACTTGCACCTGAAAAAGACAACAGAAACAACTCTATTAATAGTCAATAATAACACTAAAATATAGAGAAAGGGGAGAATTAAAATGAAAATCAACCATTCCCGACCAAAGAAAAGAGAAAGCGATAACAACTTCAGAATTTTGAGAAAGGATTTCTAAAAGTGATCTCAGAACCAGCATTTAGTTTCGTCTTAATGTGCTCAACATGAAACATTAATGCTGCTCTATAAGGGAATAATTTCTGTTCAGTGGAACAGCACTACAAAATAATAAAAGCACAAATAATTTTAACAAGCACCCTGCCCAACTTCCTAAAGTAAGGAATAAATCACAAGCTGGAGTGAACTTAAGGTTCCTGCAATGTCTACAGTTGATCATTGCTTTCAATAATAATCGAAGTAAATATAGAATGCTTGTGAAAAGCTAGAGAAAACAAAGGCCATCCATTTCTTCACAAATAAAAACAATGATAAAGTGACTGAAATGTTCTTGTATTTTTAATATTTAAATAAGAGACTGGTAAATTGATAAAATTAATGGTAGCTATAATTGACAACAAGTGACCTTACACATGAAAATTATTAGCTCAAAACTCACCAAGTACTGGACAACAGACTAACTACAAGGGAACATAGTTTGATTTGAAGGAAAGGGAACTAATCTGATGCGTCACTTTCATGTTTCACTAGTTCAGAGCCAACATCAGTGTTCAAACAAAACAAGACTCTTAATCTGCTAGAACTTATCTGAACCAAACCCTGCAGTGTGTACACAAAAGTCAATACTTGAAAGGTGCGCTTCACAAGTCAGCATAGAGTGGAAGCCCTACTTGTGTTCACAACAGGAGACTCGACAGGCGCACAACGGCCATCAGACCGTATCTGCACAAGTATTTCACCGGATAATAACCGATTGAGTCACTAGCGGCCATCGAGGACGGCCACTAACCTGACAAAGGATTTCAAAACTTTCATTCTGGAGCAGGCGAGTACTTTTAATGGATCGTAGGCGTATGTAAGTAAAATTGGCTTAATTTTGATGTCCAAATGAACTACCAATAGCACACGAAACTTAATTTAGCAACAAGCAACATCGGGGCCAACCTACATAGCAGAGTGATCCCGATATGCTTCCAGAACTTGACAACTGTCACAGTACACCTTTACTTGACGAAAAACCCAGAAATGTGAATCTTGGCCAATTGACGCGTAAATAAAATACGCACTTACACGAAAAATGTGATAAAAACTTTAATTTCTACCAGGTGGAGGGATCGATTAGGCCTTACCGTACTGTTCAAAAACATATCAAAAAGTGTTCAGGTATCCATGCGAATTCATAGACAAATCGTTCGCTGGGGGCGGCTCACCTTCAAATCCATGCACTCCTGAATATCTCTGCACGGCTGAATAAAATAACCCGTATCGGACTCAAAGTTAGTGACTGCGAGACGCCTAGAGATACACAGGCCCCTAGACAAGATGGCTGCAAATCGAAAGGAAAAAGTGGAGGAGGATATGACGTCATGTTTGGTGTCCACTATTGCCAACAGCTGACTCACGATGCTGTACCGAAAGCACATTGAAGAATGCAATGCCCTCGCACGCAGTAAATCGGCGACAGTGTTAACATTTGGAAAGAGTCTTTAATTTCCCATTTGGCCGAGTTTTCTTCAGGTGTGTATCCTTCAGTGGCACTTCATTTCACGCTTTCACCAGAGTTTTCTGGTTTCATGAGAAGAGGGGGATTTCAATGAATCAATGAATCACTCTTATTACAAAAACACGAAGGAAGAACTTTCTAGACTTCTGATGTTTAGGAAATTTACCGGCTGTTACGAATTTTATGTTAAGTGTCTGAGGTCTAGGATTGTGCTATTTCATTCCAAAAACTATGGATATGACTCCAGTACATATTCTCCGAATGGCTAATGGTCGCATTCATTAAAATCCGGCGTATCCCAATGTGACGAAATAAAAATACTACTTTTGGGGTTGCGGACTGAAATTCATACCAGGCATGAAATCTTACGAGAAAAATAAGTTTATTTACATTGTTTGGGAGGGAATTGTGTTGACCACGAGCGCTAAGCACAGCACACAGTCAGGTGTGGTTGGCAGTCCTGTATACACATTCGAATGAGCAGGTGGCGCTCTGGCATGGTTTATTTGATTTAATTGAGTTGGGGAGACATTACATCCCCCTCCCTCTCTCCTTTAATTGTTCTACTATATCCCCACGACCCTGAAGGAAAGTAGAACTAATGTCAGGGTGCGACGGTGTGATCGTAGTTGTCTCTGTCTGTCTATCATCAGATGCAGGTTGAAGTTGGAGGCTCATCATATCCTCGCCAACGTTTTACCATTTTGTCTGGTTCACCCTTGACTTGTGAGTCAGGATATACTTATGATGTGTTTTAGAAGCGTTTTCATTTCCAACGGCAATAAAGAGAAAACATTAAAGATTTTCAGAAATTTATTTCTGCTTTAAACATTCATAGGTGCAGTCTTTCATCATTCAGCTTTTTCTATGAATCACAATGGTGAGAGAACTTTATTAGTACTCTTCAGGGTTTCACGTGTGTTTATGGACAGTCTATCACAATATGGATATGATAACCTTTCAATATCCTTTCTCATCCAAATTCAAACATATACGTTTCTTAAAAATCACGTGTATGTGGAAAAGTAACCCAACGAGCAGCGCTCATCCAGGCACATCAATTTGACATCAATCTTAAGCCACAAATGAAATTTTAATGTAAAAATGTCCCAGTTTTGACAAAATTTTGACCAATTCCCGTCAGTTTGATGTAAATTTGATTGATGATTGCTCGCTGGGTAAATTTACATCATGGCAAATCATACACCTTATGTCAATTTATAAAGAAATTAATTAATTAAAGAAGTAACAGAATGAAACTGCAACTTTCTCAGTGATAATATTAAAAAAATTAAGTCCCTATTTCAAATCATGTATTAAATTTTGATGTTCATTGTCCTTCAAATTCTATAGGTGGGAAAACAATTGTAGCAGTTTTTTCATACTGGTCTACCATTGTGTATTGACATTCAATGTTAAATGTCAAGATCATGAAAGACTATAACCAGTTTGAAAAAAGAAGTACTCCCCAAAATTAGCCAAATAACAACCATTGCAACTACACATGAGCCAAAATAAATTAACATTTTAAAATAACATAGACATCTAATGTAGATGGGAGTTAACTATAAATGTAAAAATGTTTTAGCAAAGTAAGTGTGATACTATACATACAACACATTTTTAATGGAAAACACATTTGCTTGTACCGTTTTTTTAAAAGCTTGTAGGTTAAGCCTTTTAAGTACAATAAATGCCACAATAGTAAAGCATACAACAATTAAGGAATTTAACAGATGCACAGTTTTGGGAATAGAAAATTTGTGTCAAGAGATAAATACCTACAATCAATATCACATGTGCATACGGATTTTTCAAAATCGGTCTATATGTGGAGAAATTTGTATGTAACAGTTATACATCATCAACAGTTAAAACAAAGTGAGATGAAGTGCAACAATCCAAAGGAAATTTCTGTTTAACACACAACTTGTGCACACCAAAGATAAAGCAATGCAATATATTTTTATAGCAGTAATTGACATATTTACTTGTTACTGAAGGACTCAGGTGCATTATCAGATCCCTTGTTGCACCCTCTAAACAATTAGATTCTACTTAAAAAGTCAACAACACAAGAGAATTTGCAATTTTTCATATGATTTGTGCCGGCGTCTAAGCACAATAATAATTTGACAGTAAACAACAATAACCATTCATTCACACATCACATATACAAATAGGCTTTACTAAAGTTAAACATTCCTCTATTTATACATACTCAGTTCATTAATGACTTTAAAAAATTATAATATACATCTATGATTGAGTGTAATGGAAAGAAATCACTTGTAAAATATAAACATCTAAATCACACATGCTCTTTTGTAGACACCACAAAGCATCCATGAGTGCGTAATAGCACTGAGCACTTAACAGACTCATCAAAACATTGCATGGGACACCATAATCGACACAGTATAATTCTAGAAAACATCACAATTTTTCTTTTTTAGTTTCTTGGATAAAAATATAAATTCTGTTTAATATAAGTCAGTAGCATCATAGTGCTGACACTTCTGTACTCAAGCCACTGTCAACATCTGGCCCTTCACCCAACACAAGAGCACGGTTAATGTTGCCACTTAAGTGGGGAAGAGGTGATGAGGTAGACGTTGAAGATGTGTTCGATGGCCTTCGATCAACAAGGTCTCTCCTTGCACGTTGCCTTCGATGAACTTCCATTTCTTGACTGAGGCGAGGGGTGGTAAGAGGTGTGTCTCCTGACAACCGTCTCTCTAATGCCTGAGATGCAACCATGCTGTAGGTAGTGCTGGCAGGGGAAGCTGTGAGCGATGCGCTTGGCTGCTCTGAGTGGTTTGATGGCAAAGGTGACAACTGAGTGTCCCGAGGCAAAGTACCTGACTTTTCCTCAAATACTGAAAAAAAGTTGAGGATAAATTAAAAATGCAAGATATATGTGATTGAAGATTAAACTTGTGATATAAACTTACATTTATCCAAGCTAATTATGGAGCCAACAATTTCATGAACAGAGAGCTCTTGATGATCCTCAAGTTGTTTACGTCGCCTTACAAGCCACCAATCCAATGAAAAGAGAACAAGTGCTAGGATTTTAATTCCCGCACATAAACCAACATACCTAGAATATGAACATGAAGTTGTGTATTTCAAAATGCATCAATGTAAAATGAAAAAATACAACCCAACAAACTTACTTGTATCTGAACTGCTCAATATCATACAATAGGCATCTACCGCCTTTCTCTCCACAAGTTTGTTTCCATAAAATGCAGGTTGAATCAATAAGGTTACCAAAAAGAATAGGAGCCGGAATGTACCCAAACAGTCTAAAAATAACAAACTGCATGCCTAATGCAAATGACCGTTCTTCTTCATTGACAGACCTGACAATGAAAGATAATGAAATATAAATTCAGATAGAAAAAGAATAGTATTCCAAAGCAACATTTTTTTCCTAGAACGTACCTTAGAACAATCATCAGCAGAGGCATTTGAGTGACAGCCACAACAAAAGTCATAAAAAAGAGAAGTATTAGGAATGGGAATATTGTTTTGCATGGTGAACTGCAAGGCCCAGCTGTTGCAACCGGAACGACTGTGACTTCAGCAAAGTCCCCACCACTGGCTGCTCCCGGAGGTAAGGTCATGTTCCCATGAATACCTAAAATACAACCAAAACATGATTAGATATCGATAGTATCTCTCCCAGTTACCACGGAGAGCAGATTTCTTTAATGAAGAGATACTTACAAGCACAATTTGTGTAGTTTGATCGAGATGTTAATGCAGTACAACCTGCATGACAGGGACTGAAATAAGTCAATCCATTGTTTCCACAGACTGGCTCCACATCATTTAAACGGCACTCACAACCAAAATTGCAGGCCGCAGTCAAATTTACTGTGAATGGAGCCTCATGAGAACTGTAAATAGATCAAATAAATAGAAAGATATAATAAAACCCACATACTTGAACAATGAAAGTATTTTATGTTGAATTTTTACATACTTATTGAAGTAAGGAATAGTTGTTCCAGCCATTTTAACATTATCACATCCGAGGAAAAACAAGAGGCCATAGCAAGCTAAACATACTGTGTTAGATATAAGAACAAACTGGACAGCTCCTTTGGGTCTTAACTCCAATCTCTTCAACAAACAACCACCGAAGAAAATGCCGATGCATGCTCCAGGTATTGCAATGGATCCTGAGTAATATAATAATGGTTTTAGGAAGGTTTCCCTCTGACGTGAATAAAACAAAAAATTAAAGTTATGGTGAGAGCTTAGGCCTACCTGTAAATATGCTGGCTTGACTTTTACCTAAGCTAAATTGAGTTTCAAGATACTTAGGCAGAAATACTACAAATCCAGATACAATAACAAGTTCCATACAAGCACCAAGGCATGTCACAACATATACAGGGTTTGTAACAAGCCGCCACATACTCCTTGGTATGTCTGAAAAAGAAATCAAAAAAATATTAGTTAAATTTAACTTACAAGCACTGCAACTCACACTAGTTCCAATTTATTTCGAGAATGAAACTGCTCACCTTTGATATCTTTTCCATAGCCTGAATCACCATTTTCAGGAGAGCCATTTGCAACTCCATCAGCCAATGATTTTTGAGGCTTTAGTTTTGAATCAGTGTGAGGTAGGGACTTTTCAACTAGTCTAATCTTTTCTTTTTCCCTCTGGAAACCAAACATTACAAACATGTATTACAAAACAAAAAAGAATCATTGCCTTTTTCCTGCTTTTCCCCTCTTTTCCCTTAACATTTATTGTACATAAAAGATTGCAATGAAGACACTTCAAGAAACAAAGTCATACTTACAGTTAGAATCTTTGGGAATGAAAAGAATGGTACAGCAACAAGTATGAGCAACAATCCGCAAAGTAAAAATCCTCCCCACCACATTCCCACCCATCTGTGATCGCCTGGATCTGCGTAGGTAAAAAAAGATAAGAATGATAAAACTAGGACAAAACTTGATGGTAGGAAAAGAATGTTGGCACTACTCACCAATTGTTACTGGAAGGCTTGAAAATGAATCCATGTGAAAGCTGAGCAGGTAGGCTCCCAACAAAAAACCAAGTACTGGTCCAAATGCAGCCATACTGTACATACAGCCGATGTACAGTGAAGCACTCTCTGGTCTGACATGGTCATCGATATATGTGGTCCCCAGAGTGAAAAGGGGGGACCCACCACAGCCAAGCAGTAGCTGTGCAACTACAAACAGCAGAACTGGTCCAGCTGTTGATGGTGTACCCTGTATGCAGTTATCCCCACGCAGGTTATTGTGAGGTGAGAGGGGAGGAGACGACAAGCCAGTAGACAAGCGACCCAGTCCCATATCCTGCTCTCTAATTGACACTCCTTTACATATATTATCATTAGATAGGTTACTCAATGAAGAGCTGCCATGAGGCTCAGCTATAAAGTGGGGCACCATAAATATAAGGGACCCAATGCCCATGATTACAGCACCTGAAATTAGATACAAAAGAAGTTAGATTAGTTAGTTTAAGCAATGTTTACCGGTACATTAAACAACAGTGAAAAACAGTATATTAAGTTTGTAGCTTACCTATGGCAATCCATACTGGAATGTGCCTACGGCTACCAAGGTAGCTAACAAAAATCACAGTGATAACATTTCCTATTTCATATGATGAGGCTATAAGACCTGATAAGCTGGATGGAATTTCAAACCTGTAAAGATTGGGAAATAGTATAAAATAATCTTTTGGACAAAAGGAGTAAAACAGGTGAAACATGGATGAAAAAACACATTTCAAGTTAATTATAAGTACCTTTTTTCTATAGTTGTGATAACCGAGTTAATGTACCCTGATGATAATGCTTGTTGCAATGTAACTAAAAATGACAAGAGGAACACAAACACCTGAAAGCACAAAAATCACATAGAGCAAATGCCAAAAACCAAAAAATTATCAAATTACATTTCACAGACAGTAATGTACATACTTTTATGGTAGCAAATTGCTGCACCATTTGAGGCCTACATGACAATATACCACAGTCTTGAGATTCTGATAGAAGTATTGTTGGAATTTCTGGGTATGACGGATGAGATTTTTCACTCCTAAATTGGGAAAGAAAATCATTCTTACATCAGACAAACAACATAACATACATCATTAGACTATTAAAAGGAAATCATTTACACATAAAATACAAAACTAATTATAAATCCAAAATTTGGAAGTAGAAAACCTGTCACTGCTAGCTTACCTTTCTACCAGGGTGGCAGGCACAAACGTTGGGGGTACAAAACCTCCCGACAGATTCCGAATGTGGCACTTGACGGTATTGTGCTCGAATCGTCCGAGAGATGAGTTCCTAATGTGGTGGTGGTGAGCGTTACCATGGTGGTGGGATTTCTCTGGAACAACGCCCAAAGAGGCTGTCCGTCGGTGGCATTTTTCCTTTCTTTCAGCGAGGCCTGCAAATGAGATTAATGTGATGATAAAACCTTTTCCAGCATTTTAAATTGGCCTTTTTAAGAAAGAGGGAGAAAAGTTCCAATCCAGAGTTATGTTTAGTCTAAGTGTAAGGTATCATCTGCTAAAAGGTAAATTTAAGTCCGTTTTTTATTTATAAGAAACTATACCCGGAGAGAAAACTGTCCTCACACGCTAAATGCAAGATTTCATTCAAATGAATGCACGAAGTGTTCAAATCAACACAGAAAAAAGTGAGGGAAAAAATCAATTCAAATAAAGGGTACAAATCCAGTTAGTGTGAACCACGTACACATTTGAATTGGCAGAGTATTCGGCACTCACCTAGCGACGCGTTCCTCGAGTGGCCCTTGTGGAACGGGGCGTCCTTGCTGGTCTGGCCGCCCCGCTCGCCATCGCTGCCGCTGCTGTTGGACGCGTCCGCGTACAGGCCGGTCAGCGCGTACATGGACTCCTGGCGGCGGTGGCCCCCGCCCCCTCCTGGGCCGCCCCCGGGGCCGGCGTGAGGCGCGGTCGCCGGGCCGCCGCCACCGCCGCCAGGGCCCGCGCCACCGGGGCCGCCGCCGACGCTGTTGGCCATGCCGCCGTCCGCCGCCCCGGGTCGCTGCTCCAGGTGGACAGAGCGGCGATGTCGGACTCCTACCGGTCCGGATGCATGCCCCGCAGGCACCTCGGCCTCACCGGCTGCAACAGACAAACACGCGGAGTTAGGGACGCCTGATCAGGAGTGGCTCCCAACGCAGCTCTGCGGCCTGGTGGCCTACCCGGCAGCTGATACACTGTTGAAAAAGCTGTAAGGAAGTACAGTTTTACCTACAGCGTCCGTCCTTGTATATTTTATGTACGGGCCGGAATGTAAAGATATTGACGGTACTCCACTGACAAGTACTCCACTGACAAGTCAAGTGCTGTACTGGCAAAAAAGACGGTTCGCGAAGTTACGGTACATCCTGTACGGAGTGGACCGTAATCCAAAATTACAGTCGCGGACGTAGTAACAAATTGACAGGGCTCACTGTAGAATTTCCTGTAGGTTTTTTTTTAACAGTGTAGGCGCTCCACAGCAAACGCAATACTGTTTGACTCGAGGTGTAACCGCGCTCTAAATGGGAAAGGAAAATTCGGTATCCATGCGACGATGTATTCTTCTGCACATCTCAGTCGGATGCAAATTTGTCCACAAACTCACCTCACAAAAAAGTAATTTAGACAATTCCAGCCGGCAGGGGTCCGTACGTCATGCGATTTGTGAGCGACTGAGCGGTACTACGGTTATGTACAAAAAAATGACAAGACGCACCTTGAGACTTGAGATGCCGAGTCTCGACATTTATTGCAAAACAACGTACCGCCACTCAGTCACCCACAAGAAGTCGCGTGACGTGCAGACATTGTTTATCATTTCTCCTGGAATTGCCCATTTGCACCTAGTCTGGGTATAACTTGTAAACAGAAAACTTTTCTGATACAGATTTGCATCTATTGAGACGTGCTTAAGTACACATCTTAGCTGTATAAAAAATTGTCCTGTCCCATATTTAGATTGTGAGCAGAACAAATGTGAAATGAAATGACCAAACTCTTTGTGACATTGAGAGAGTCTCCTCAATTTCTTTTAAAGAACGTTAACGCTACGCTAAGGGACCACCCAGAAAGTGCGTTCGTCATTATCAGTGACGAACCTGCCGAGTTCAATCCTGTGCAAGCTCTCATAGCGCCTGATGGGTAGGCAACATCTCGTCTGCAGTGCATGCGTGTACTCCGGGCTGGCCTACCCTGAGTATCGCAGGCGCCAAGCTCCCAAATGTTCCCTAAAAAAAGTCTGAGAAAAGAAAACAGACGTACTTTCTTGACGATCCCTAATGATTTATACGCTGTGTTTCAAAGCATGCAGCACGCGGACGCGTTTGCCTACCGGGTAGGCCCTACCCACTCTGACCGTAGAGCGCCATGATGGCTCCTGTGAGTAGCCGGAGTAGGCCAACCCGCCCGCATCGGCGCATGCTCCGAAACACAGGGTAAGTCCTACCTTTCAAGGGCACTCAAACTGCCAAGGGTACTAATTTTTACCACCTTCAGGGCTCTCTAGGGAATTTCTAGAGGCACTAAATAACTGAACAATTGTTTGGCACCCTTCGCACCCCTGAAAAGGCACCATTTGGCACCTTTCCAGTTTCCAGTTTAGCAGGCACGGCTATGCTATTTAAAGTAGGCCCACCTATTTCCGCGCAGAGTCGCAGCCAGCGGCAGGCAAGTCAAGTGGGCTCCCGAGAATGGCCAGACATAAAGTGGCCGTAAAAAGTGACAATGGTTCCACACTCTTCGTGGGACGGGGGTTTGAGCGGATCAAAGGACGAAGTTGCTACTGGATCCGGGAATCGCACTGCGTATTACGACAGTAAAGGTGAATATGAAAAGAATGTAGAGATTCTGAAAACTTAAATGAAAACTTCACTCTAAATTTGAATGAACAATTTTGTTACTGAAAGGGAGCGTCCCCATGCGCATCCAGACCCGATACAAATCTGTTCCCAAAACGGGATGATGTGTGTAAAACTTTTGGTCCATTTCTAGAAAAAACAATTCTTGTTAACTGTGAAACGAACCCAAGGTTGGAGAAATGTAGTCGATGTTATAGGAACTTTAAAGGCACGTAAAGCATTCTTTTAATTGTTGATGTGTCTTTTTGCGTAGTGTCTTTGTGCATGATAGGCCTCTTGCTTTATAACTGCCCACAACTTTTCGCGTGGGCGGCACTTAGTGTCTTATTTATATCAGGCGTGGTAAGGGGCGATCCCCCCTCCCCCCACCCACCCCCAAATCCAAATATTGAAAGGTAGGCACTATGTGCTACGATTTATCTTCATCAGATAAATTTCTCATACACTCTCATTTCCTTACGGACTCGCTTCCGGATAATTTTGTGAAAGCGTAATATGGATCAAATTTATCTGTAATACGGATGAAATGGTCCGTAATATGGATGATTTCATCCGTATTATCAACAATGCTAGGTTCGTCACTTAT